TAGATATACCATAAACATATATATGCACTTACTTTTTAATTTGTCGCCAGAGAACAACTCGCTGATGTCGTTGCCGGTCTCTGACACAGCTATTTCCTTACCATCATATCTACATATTAACCTACGAAAGAAGGAAATGTATATAATAAGGATATTATTGATATAATGAAAATATTGATATTAATTATGGTGTTGACAAAGATATTAACAAAAATGATATTAATAAAAAAAAATATATGAATCTTAATAATAGTCATCACCACCTGTAACCGCAGTGATAACGTCAGACAAATGTTACCATTGTACAGGTTTGTAGGATTGCAGACTGTTAATAATAATAATAATAATAATAATAATAACAATTATTATTACTTATTATTATTATTATTATTATTATTTAATATTATAGTCTCTCACCCTCTCCCTGATTACAGTATCCCCTTACTAACAAGCCAAGTGTTGGATTGAAATAAGGATAATAATACAAAAACGAACTCAGGAAGATTTGTCTCGAAATCCAATGTAGAAGGTATAATGATTGAATCGAATCTAAACATAATTTTGCTGTACGCCGACAGAGCACACTCAAGTCTACTTGTATGATTACTTTACACCTGATAACATGCATATCAAACAATAACGCTCGGAATTATCTATACCAGAGGACAAGGGCCGATCCCGCTGCTGAGGTTAATCATAGGGCGTGACCACCAACCGTCATAATACAGGGAGGTTGACAACCTACCCCTTCAAATCATCATAGACTTAATTACAAAATATGTCGGATGATTAATAAATCTAAATGTGTATATTTTTATTTATGTAGGCCTATGTTAAATAGACTATATGCCCGATTAGTATAAAATTCTATCGAAGTACTAAATACAGCAGTAACATTTAATGCCGGTGTACGTAGGAGAATGCACTTGTTTTGTAAGTACAGTAGGCCTATACAATCAATGTACACACTAATCGCCTATCGCGCCTGCCTAGTTTCTGATACAAGAAGTACATAAATAAACGTTACTTACCAAGTCGTCTCGTCTGTGTCAGATCTGACTTTTTCATATGCTTCAACAACATTATCTTTATCTTGCAAAACCATTTTAATAATAATATAAAAGTCTGTGAAAACTTCACTTTCACGAGAAACCGGCGTTTTTAACACGGAACAACGACTAAATGATGTCCAAAAACGACTGAAGCGAATCCACGTGAACTTTGTCCTTTCAAAATTTGGTATCGGCTCCTCCTATCTTAACCGCTAAAACCTTGTGCCTTACGTCACGCGTTTCACACGTGATTATATGAATATGCAAGCAGGCACCATCAGCAATAACCATATTTAGATGTATATGACCCACAGACGACTTCCGGTTGTGGATGCCACGATTGTAACGATTTGCAAGGTGAGGCTTACCTGTAGAGTAGGCGGACATGTGTTTGCCACTCGTTCACAATACACAATAACCACATATCACGAATGAGATTGCTTCATCCGGAAAGGGGAGGGGACTTGTACCCTCTGCTTTTTCGACTAAGATCCCCACCAGTGGTGTTTTTGAAATGGGGGAGTTAGAAAATCGGGGTTTTTTTCGAAAATTTATTATTATTATTATTATTATTATTATTATTATTATTATTATTATTATTATTATTATTATTAATAATAATAATAATAATAGACCTAATAATAATAATAATAATAATAATAATAATTATTATTATTATTATTATTATTATTATTATTATTATTAATAATAATAATAGACCTAATAATAATAATAATAATAATAATAATAATAATAATAATATCTATATAAGAAAATAATCAACCTCTATGTTACGTTTAATGTATAAATTAAATAAATATATTTGACTTCAATTTCTCTTCAAATCCACATTTATTACATCATTTTCATCAACCATATAATTTTCCTGATTTTGCTCCTGTTATATATTTACTAATTATCAAAAACAAACAGAAGTAGGTCTACTTAGGCCTACTGTAATATTTACAATAATGATTGTTGCTATTATTTATTATTGTTATAAATGACATTCATTGGATACTTTAGGAAATAGTTTAATTTGTTGAATACAATTACTGAAGCACCGGGATTCAAGGACAGAAACCATTAATTTGGAAATGCGGAAAAACAATTTATACCGACGCGGATCAACGTGAATCCTTACCAAATCTGCTTAATCGTTTATTCATGTATGAATATCAAACTAAAATATCACGAAGGACATGTAAGCGTATACAATAACGTGAGTATAATAATAATAATATTAATAATAATAATAATAATAAATAGGCCTACTAATAATAATAATATAAATAATAATAATAATAATAATATTACGCTTATTACCAGTAATAATAATAATAATACATATTAATGATTATGATGATAATCAATGCCATTGGTAATTGGTACAGTGGCTGAATAGTAGCAAATGATTTTATAAACATATCAGGCCTTAAAAACACTCTCTCAAGGCGAGCATTGTGGTATCTTAGCAACAATATCTAAGACACGGTGCTAAGCAACAGAAAGGTCTGAGTAGCTTATTATATCTCTATGGTAGCAACAAGAAAATTGTGCGGACTTGTGTTTCCTGGATGGAAACAATGTTAGCGCGTGCGCGCGTACGTACGTTCGAAAGTTGTTATCTATAGAATTTCCATAACAACTTTAATAAATGAAGCACAGTCAACAGGCAGCAGTAAGGTCTACATAATCAATAAAACTTATATTTTTGGGTTAAAAAATAATCAGTATGTGTGACAGTGATTCAGCAGCAATTGTTATTGACAATGGGAGTGGGATGATTAAAGCAGGTTTTGCTGGTGACGATACCCCTAGATCAGTTTTCCCGGCAGTCGTAGGTCGGCCTCGACATCGCAGCGTTATGATCGGAGTAGGTACCAAAGATGCGTACGTAGGCGATGAAGCTCAAAGTAAAAGGGGCATGCTTACGATGAAGGTAAGAATGGATATGGTTTTGTTTTTTTGGTTTTTTTTTTTGTTTTTTTTTTTTTTTCATTTTACATAGACTTAGGGCCTAATAAAATATTGTGTTAGGAATTATCTATTTCATAGCTTTCTTGAGTTTGATATTATTATTGTTATTATTATTATTATTATTATTATTATTTCTATTTAAAAATTAAAGTATTTTATTTCACATTTGTTCAACCAATCAATCAATCATCAATTTCAAATACATAATTATATTTATGCGTACATAATTTTTTTTCTAATGCTATTATGATGTCTACACTTACTGACTGGACTAAAACTCAATGATAATAAATGTACACATTTATACTGAAAATTGTAATACAGTATATAATAATGTAACATACTGTAAAATGTACCAAGTTAAAAGTTGAAAAGAAAGGTAAGTAATGGAATAAGGACAAGAAAAGAAATATTTTATAATCAATTAAGCAGATCAAAGAATATTAAAATTACTGTATTTTAAAAATTATTCAAACTTAAAATAAATCAAGTTGATAATATTTATATTAATATTCTTTTTTTTTTATTAGGTGAAATTTTAAATAATTTTAAAATCCCACTCCATATGTTGTAAAGCGCATAGAGGTAGTTCACATCGCGCTACATAAGTTCACAACTATTATTTAATTATTATAAATATTATTATTATTATTATTATTATTATTATTATTATTAATTATTATTATTATTATAAATATTATTATTATTATTATTATTATTACTATTACTATTATTATTATTATTACTATTATCATCATCATTATCATTATCGTTATTATTATTATAATTATTATTATTATTATTATTATTATTATTATTATTATTATTATTACTGTTGTTGTTGTTTTTTCTGTTATTGTTTTTGTTGTTGTTGTTGTTTGTTGTTGTTGCTGTTGTTTGCTGTTGTTGTTGTTATTAACGATGATTTATCAACATTCCCAAGTATCCGCTCGAGCATGGGATCGTGACAAACTGGGATGACATGGAGCGTGTATGGAAACACGTATTTGACAATGAACTACGAGTTGCACCTGAGGAGCATTCGGTGTTACTGACTGAAGCACCTTTAAATCCAAAAGCGAATCGTGAAAAAATGACGCAGGTAAGGGAACAATGTAAAAGTTGTCTATATTAATATGTTAAATATCGCAAACATGTTCAGTAGAACTTTTAAAGATAGTTGATTGTATCTGTGATTGTATTAAATACCGTTTGTATTAACAATTTTGATAGTACAGTATTTATAATTTATTTTCACCATTTTAATTGAGCTTTCTGATCGTTTTTGATACTGTTTTGTACTATTTTACTTCTCCCTCGGAAGTTTTTAACAAAATGAAATGAATGAAATATTTGAACTGGCTACTTATAGGGCCCGCATTAAATAAATGGGAACTTTTTTTTAATAATGGATGTTTTAATAATAACATTTATCTTTTTTTACATTTGGTTTGGTTAAATAGAGCTATAGCATCGAAAAATGTCTAAGGAAATAATGACATAAAGCATATGCCTTTTTTACATGCAGATAATGTTCGAAACATTTAACACGCCGAATATGTATGTGGGAATCCAGGCAGTTTTGGCTTTGTACGCGTCTGGGCGAACGACTGGAATCGTGCTTGACTCGGGCGACGGTGTTTCACATACGGTACCCATCTACGAGGGCTACGCCTTACCCCACGCAATCATGAGACTAGACCTTGCTGGCAGGGACCTCACTGAATACATGATGAAGCTCTTGACAGAGAGAGGGTATTCCTTTACAACAACAGGTGAATACATGCTAATTATACTTTAAAACCCCGCCCCCATCCCACTCTACCACTTACCTTAATCAAGCCTAGGCAAATTTCATCTTCGTTTGGCCAAATTCCATAATATTTGGCCGTCGTATTGATAAGTACTGCGTTCAGAATTATTGGATCTTCATTAAAATGTGTTTTTGTTTCCTGTTAGCAGCAATTAATTCGATTTTATATAATAGGTTTTCCCACAAAAGACAACAATTGTTATATAATCTCTTATCCATTGATATACTAGTGACGTACTTTAATGAACGCCTATAACTTCTTTTAATTTTGTGTAGCTGAGAGGGAGATAGTGAAGGATATTAAAGAAAAGCTTTGCTACGTTGCACGGGATTTTGATTCCGAGATGAATGTTTCCGTTAGCAGTATTGAAAAAACGTACGAATTGCCTGACGGACAAGTGATAACTGTCGGTAACGAACGGTTCAGGTGTCCGGAAGCATTCTTTGAACCGTCATTACTCGGTAGGTTAAGGGTTGGTTGAACAATTCATACAGGTGCAATGTAGACGTGTTGTGGTAATTTTTTTTTTTATATTTAAATCTTCCGACAATGAACAAAAACAAAGAAGTTGGTAGGGGCTGCCGAGGATGGGCAAAAATATAAAACTGGCATCCGAAGATGTGCCCATCCAAAACCTCCACCAACCCAAAATATAGATACAATTTCAAAGAACAATAATAAAATACAAGCAAAAAAAGACCGACCAATAAAATATTTCATAAAATAAAACACAAAAATCAACATTATCAAAATATAAAACATCGAAGCACCCCGAGAAACAACACCCATGGATGTATTTGTATTCGTATTCGCGACGAGAATGACACTAAGCCGAGTTGAAACTCTCCAATAAATGACTCTTGGGTCTCTTAGTGAAACTCAAGAGACTCGTTTATGAGACTATTTCTTGTCTCAATCCCCAGTTTTGAGAATGCTTTAGGATAACGAATAATTGCACTATACTTAAAGGCATCCGTACGGGCCCTTGCATGTTTAAATGTAAGCACATCCCGGTGCCTCTGATTAACATAAAGTCCGATCTAACTGACAATAGGTGTTTCGATATAAAAGAAATACTCTCATGTTGTCGCTTACCCTCAACTGACATTAATCCCAGAGACAAAATTCTATCCTTATAGGATTGCTTCAAATACCTTTTGTCTTAGTATCATTCTCGTCGCTCGCCTTTGCACAGCCTCAAGCTGTTCAATGTACTTCACCAAACCGGGCAGCAATACAGCAAAATTGGAAAACGAGCGCATTATACAAATGCAGGGACACTTTCGATGGAGCATCGCCGGAGAGATAGTCGAATAAGACCACAAATTCGATTACACTTAGCTACTGTCTCATGAACTTCCATATCCCATGACAGATTTTTTTGAATAGTACAGCCCAACAATTTGTGAAAATCAACACATTCTAAAATTGAATTACCAATTTAACATAAAATGGTTTTGCACACTGCCTTTTCCATGTTAACCTCATAACTTTACATTTGTTGGGGTTGAGTTTCAATCGGTTTTTTTCGGCCCATGACCCTATAGATTGTAAGTCAACCTGAAGTGCAAGATCAGTGACCCCACCCTTCTGTATGTAAACACATCATCAGCACACGCAAGTAAGTTTGGCTATAATGTGAACTTAAGCCTGAATGGCGCAGTGGCACCAATGGGAGGGCCGAATGGTGCCAAGGGTCAGGTTCACAATTTGTCAGGATGAAAATTGAGACACTGCGTCGTTTCGACCGTCGGCCGACGACTCCATCTCCGTTTATCTGTGTAAGAGCTTGACGACGCTACGCCGTCTGCTGATTGTTGATGGCAGTCTGAGCTGACCGTCATCATTGAAAACTACCTGTTGCGCGCGACTCGACCGCAGTGTGCATTCTCTGGGCCGGGGAACCGCGTCGGCCGACGACCTCAGTGCACAATGTAGTGTACCCGGCTTAAAATCGAAGACTAAATACACTTCAAATCCCCAACTATCGTCGGTGACTTCCGAGAGCTTCTTCGGGTGGACGCCTCTTCCTTGTACGTGACAATTGCCCTCCCCCAACTATCTCCTACCTGGTTGGAGATCGTCAAGATAAATAATCTATTTCGATACCAATGAAACAGCACCAGACATAGGTGGTTCAGCTTCGTTTTGTTGTCATTTTTCTTGTTTAGGGTTAGAAGCAGTCGGGCTTCACCAAACGGCCTACAACTCTATCATGAAGTGCGACATCGATATCCGTAAAGACCTCTACGCTAACACATGTCAATCTGGAGGAAGCTCGATGTTTGAAGGATTTCCAGAACGAATGGAGAAAGAGCTCACGAAACTGGCACCAAGCACGATGAAAGTAAAGATCATCGCCCCACCTGAGCGCAAGTTTTCCGTCTGGATCGGCGGATCTATCTTGTCGTCACTGTCGTCATTTGATACAATGTGGATCACGAAAGGTGAATACGATGAAACGGGTCCCAGTGTTGTGCACAGAAAATGCTTCTAAAAATGTTAATACAGTGTCTTATGAATATGTAAATTCTCTTTGGAAAAGATAACCTTGAAAGCAACAATATTTTTCCTTAAAGTTTACATAAATTATGACTGCAAATTCTCTTTATAATAAGCTACTGTATAAACATAAATATAATAAAATGCTCTCTTGTATACTGATTTGCTTTATTATTGTCTTTATAATTATCATTGTACTTCGACTAATGCTAGCTCAGAACTATTCGTTAAGCCGGGTAATCACTGCGCGCCCGACAGTCGTAGACCACGCGACGAACGAAACGCGACGAAGCGCGCGCAACGGATCGTTTTTAATGACGATCCGTTCAGACTGCCACCACCAATCAGTAAACGGCGTCACGGCGAAACTAATTCCTCCATGGTACGACCGTCGTACGACGCAGTGAGTGCCCAGCTTTACGCCACTTAGGGTGTGCCCGGCTTTCGTTCAATAATATCAGAGAGGTTTATTTTATTATAATAATTTAGAATGAAATAGAAATATATTTCGCATGAGAGACGTGCCACGCGGTTTGGTTTGTCTACTGTAGTAAAACAGTACGGGTTAGGCCTACGGGTCGACTCTAAAAGCGCCGGTTTAGGAGAGCATCTATCACATCGCAGGAGCGCACCTGTGTGATGACAGATGGGAGTTTTCAATGGTTTTCTAAGCTGACACCTTACGATGACGTTTTGTTTGGTTGGTCGAAAGAATAGTAACAAACGTGGGCGTCTAATTGAAATGATTAAGTTGCCGCTCAACATTTGTTTGGCGGCCTTGGTATGTTCATCCTTCTGTCAATGGGTTCAATGGGTACATAACTACCCATTGAAACGAGGACAAAATCCTTAGGCCTATTATTGTATCACGTAAAACGCCTCCAGGACCCTATACAGTGTTGTCTCGATCGGCCCCCATTTTCGGTCCCCCTTTCCCCTCCCCACCCCACTTTTCGGACATCCTGGATCCGCTCCTGATATCTCTTAATATCTAATATAGACCTAATAACAAACAACTTTCAAAACGTCATACTTAAGAAGTTAAGTTACTATATATTATACTATATGCTCGACTTCCATATTCTTGCCTGCATAATTTCTTTCTGCATGTTCACTGGTGAATCCCAGTTTAGCTGAGTATCAGCTGCAAAGGGACTATCAAGACTAAAGAATCATTGATTGTGACAAACCTTAACATCTAATGGTTGTAAAGATTTAAAGATAAATTTCTCTAATATCTGAGTGCTGGGTTCAATTCCTGTGACCTGGACTCACACGACTCACAGACTACAAACAACTCCACTCCAACACGGTGGCGTGTATTTCAATACTTGGAGTATGTATTATACTTTCTTATCTGAGATTAATCAGTGGACCTTTCGGTTTCCACTCCATAAGCTTCATAATAAAGAGACTTTAAAAGCATCATAAAAAAATGTTTAAATAAAACCAACAGTGAGTCAAAATATTAGGCCTAGGGCTGTTGAAGTGGACTCAAAAAGCAGTTTATCACGCGTGCGTGTCCAAAATTAGTGTGGTGCATTAGTTACTGTGTGGTGTTATTTGTGTGGAGTGTGGTGTTATTAGTTATTAGTTATATGGCTGTACCTTTACCAGAACTGGGAACTATAGATAGAATAATTTCAGACATCTTATTTTTAAGCGGTTACATGTATGTTACCATAAAACCTGAAAATTCCTAGTAATACTGTCAACTATAGCTTTAAGTTTTTACATTACTGTCTATGATGCACATAAGTGTATTGTATATCAAAAGAAGAACGTGTGTTATGTTGTTTTTGAATATCTTTGTGATTCTTAAGGGCTTTCCTGCTGCAAGCTTCCGAGCTTTTAAAGCATTGCCCCCATTGTTTTTGCCAAAAAAATGTTCATATTAATTATGAAAATGGAAATGGAAATAGAAGTTCATTGAATCGAATTAAATACTTTTAATGATAGACATTGAAGAAAGGCACGTTTTGACGAACAAGAATACCCTCAAAGTGTGTGTGTTTATTAGGTAGTTCTTTGTAAAGCTCAGCAGACCACACTATCAAATTTTATGTAATAAATTTGCGTTATGATGCCCATATATGGGCATGATGGTGTCATATTACACCCACATAATGGGCATATAATATTTTTGTCCAATCAAATTTGAGAGCATGGACTAAATTTAAAGAGTAAAATTATTCTCAGCAGTAATCAGACAATTTTGGTGGTATGTCACTATTCATAAGAATGACAAGTTTATTGGTTGACATCCAGGTAATACCAGTACCACAAGAGGAAACCGCTTATTACCACAGGTAACTATTGGGCCTGACGACTCGACAGGGGTTATGTGGTTTTATGTCTCCGACATTTCCGATTAAGATTGAGTAGGTAGTTATAGGAAGTTATTATTTGTAAAATTATATTTAGGTAAAAGGTATTGTGCCAACAAAGGAGCCCTACTCTACCATTTATCAGAGCCATAGATAGAAAGAGTTGCGACATTGAGAATTTAGAAGCCATGCTGTGTCCAACGCGATCCGCGTTCTAATTAATTCGAATTCTAAAGATAAATTCTAATCACGCTTTTGATATTAAATAGTTATTAATTAAGTAATAACATCATAAACGCAATTAAACATGTGAAAATATTATGTAATATACCTAACTCATATACTTTGTATGTGTTCATCGGGAAGATTTGGACACAAAAATGGACGGTGTGTACCACGTGACTTTCGCAAACCGAGGAGCGGAATGTCGCAACTCTTCAAACAGTATATGGCTCTGCCATTTATATTGTTATAAACGAGTAACGGGGGTCAAGTTGTTGAGATATTTTAGATTTTTAAGTCCGATTGAACAGGTAATAAACGGGTCTTTTCAGAGAAACCCCCTCCATTTTGGAGCACATGCCTTAGGTGAAAAGGTATTCAAAAATTCCCTTGTTGAATTTTTCATCATTTCTTCCTCAGTTAATGTACTGAACACCTCGCATTTCCATTCCTTCTGCGAATTTACCTTAGCTCTCAGAAAATAGTAATGAATACAACCAATTAGTAGTCCAGAACTGCTTAACTGGACCTAAAATGCACCCAAAATTTCCCAATAGTGCCTCGACAGTCATTTCCCCTTCCCCGGACATTGTTTATCTCAGATCTTTCTGAATGGAGATGGGACTGCTATTTTCGCTGAGTATTTAAACTACCATAACGTACTCAATATTTATTATATTTTTAGCTGGTTATAAACATATTTATAGATAGAACATTCGTTAGTGGAGAAAATTATACAAGACAAATACCATCCAGCATGTTCCTGAATTGGGCCTATTTGCCTATATAATGAACCAATAGGGCACCTACTTAACGCAAGAACCATGAAGTTATTTCGAGTCGGTCGAATTGGCGAGTCATTTATGTGGCTGATACTCTATGACAATCAATATTACATAGGCCAAAGTTGGAACCACGTTTATCATCGTTTGAGACTTAAATTGAGGAATCTTCGACAATAATACAAATAATTTCATGAAACAGATAACACATACGAAATGGTACTAATAATGATTGTTTATTTCATCAAATATTCAACGGTCCATGTTCATAACTTTAATATACATTGAGGTAACATTCTGAGCTACCTATACACGGACGATATGAATTAGACTTATAAAGGAAGTCTGACGTAATTTCAAATATCCTTGGCCTAAAATTAATACCAGACAATGCCTTTTACTTCAACTACAGTCAGTTGGCTTCTAAGTGCAGGCATGTGCAAGAGAACTACAGTACACTTATAAGGCATGCGCAGTAGTAATAAGAACCATCTACAGATTATTATACACATTTTAAGAACTAGTGCCAGGATAATTACGTAAGAATGTTCCTCCCAGCCATAACTTATCATTATATAGCCCTAAAAACCATATCTTCGTGTATCAACTTATATTTTGGTTAGGTTCTCATAATTGGTACATAGTATAAACCCTTGATAGAGTAAAAAAAAAAAAAAAGCTATAATTCCCATGGAATCACATGACCATTCTGTTCGTAAACAATGGGAATACAGATTAATTAATGAACCTTCCCAATAGGCAAGAGAACAGGAAGCCATAGACAACGGGAATTCAGGTTAAGCGCCCAAGTGTTTACTGTGGCCTTCAACCTCTGATGAGCACAGAACCGCCGTCCACACATCTTCCCATACTGTTGCGTAAAGTGCCTACGGTTGCTGGTCCCACAACACAAGGGAAAGCAAACACCAAAGTTTGTGAGACAACGCATTTGTTTGTGAGACACGCGCATATTCCTGGCCATGCCCTGACTGACACTACTGAAAGGTCCATTAGCCTACATGGCATAAGAACCTGACTTAAGAGTTGAAGAATAACATAGAAATAGTAATAATAAATACATTTTGCGACTTCTATACCAACTAGTACTACGTAAACAAATAGCATGCTCTCATAAATAATTTACAGAGGGCGCTCTAAATTATGGTTTTCTTGTATAAAATACTTTATTTAGATTGATTTTTTTTTTTATTACATTTGCTTTGTAATATTTGGCAAATATACTTTCAGAGATTTGATCTAAAGCAACAACATGGATATTATCTTTTTTAAAGAATCATTTTTGTATTCAATTAATCTACAAATGCCTGCAGTAACAACATATAACCTGTACATAAAAAAATTCCAGAAAATAATTAAACAAAAGTAAAATACAATAATCAAATAAATAATAATATATCATATAATATTTAAAATATTTAACCCAAATTCAATTTACTTAACATTCCAAAGACACAGACTTTGCTGATTTAAACAGTGGGTGCTTCATCAGAATATTAATGCTAGGCACAAAATAATATGTTAATAGTACTAAAACAAGGATAACAAAATTATTAACTACTCTAGAAAATTTTTAGTTTCCACAATCAACTGCTGTAGACCTTCATCACGACACTTAGGTAGGTTCACATTTATCTTTTTAGTCTGTGAGTGCCATCTCTAACAATAGACATAAAATGTTGTACCTCAGCCCAAACCATGGCGAACTTAGGCGTTCTAAACCCTCCATTTTTAAAATTCACTTTCTGCACCGCACCGCACCTGTCTCTTATACACATCTAGATGTGTATAAGAGACAGCCTCTACAGTATTTCAAATTCCTGGATCCACCACTAATAATGTTTAATATAGCACATCATATCTACAAAATCTCTATGTGTCTCACGTTAATACCCAACCTTTGGATAACACATCCAGATAGTACATTAACTTAACATCGGGTAATAATCTATTGGCAGAATAGTAAATACAAATCCTAAAAAGTTGAGGATCACCTGAAATCCTATTATTTTTAACATTATCTCCTAAATCCAGCAATATTGAGGATTATCCCATAAAAAAATAATCATCATAACATTTATCAATCTGATGATGTAAATGCTTTTAATTCATCTTAAAACGCCATCAAAATTTTGAATATATGAATGTAAAATATGAGTATGTAAATTCAAGTAAGAAGAAGCCACTTCTGGGAGATCTAGTTAAATAAGCTTTAAGGACTTGTTCTTGTAAAGGGGCCGCTGAATAATCTCCTGTTAATAAAAAAAAATAAATAAAAAAATAAGCTATCTTAACACATCTAATTTCATTTTGCACCACGTAATGATACCCATCGGCACTGACTTCCGTAAGACAATTGAAAATAAAGTAGTGAAAACATGCAAGTATTATAAATTTGTGGGAGCTGCAGCAGGAGGGGATGCGGCAGTGTGGGAGGCTATCCCGATTTCCGGGAGAGTCCCCTCATGCAAGTTGCAGGACACTTGGGACGCCTGGAATTATGTTAATGATACAATATTAATATTTCAATAAAAATTTTACAGCATTTCATATTTCATAATTGAAGACTTGTACAATTAATTCTTTTACTTTCAATACAAGCTTTTACTTAATATATTAAATAGTGAGACATGATATGTAATTATACATAACATGAGGGAGACAATATGCCTGTAGGAACTGGACATATGGGGCACACTAAATAATCTGCCTAGAAGACTTCTAAAGAATTGGCAGTGATCCCACCCAATTGATGCACAACTTCATCTTCCTTTCACCACCCCACTCAGCAGAAAACCCTGATCCTGTTGCAATATATGTGCCCACGATTCTAGGATTTTCAACCATGAAGTGCCTGCATGTCCTATGAATCCAGTTTGATAACCAACCTCCTCCAATTAAAAGCATGTTCATTAGTGTTCAGATTTTAACACAAAACTGCTTTCAGAGGACATAAAAGTCCAACTGGTACAGATATCCCAAATATTTGATCGGTCGTGATTCTTACTATAGTTACTGTATTACAACTCCTGCAAAAAAGATATCAAATATGAAATAACTTCACTCGTTTAAGTGTCAATTGCAACTTTCCAGAGGGGTTGTCCCGCCTTTGCGAGTTGTCTCATCGCCCAACCCAAACTTTTCTCGCTTCTGAAAAATGTTTGAATAATAACAAATATAATGAAGTTCTTAAAAAAACAAGATATTCACTTTCAACACCACCTCTGTTTGTTATTTTGTTTGTTTGGATGAAAAAATATTACTTTGATACAACAATATCAATGTTCAGTACAATATGTTCCAGAGACAACTCACACACAACTAGTGCGACAGAAGTCAAATTCTACCAAAGGCTCATGCCCAATATCTGTCTTTTGCCAGCCAAAAAAGACTCTGATAAGTCACAACAAACCTGGCCTTGGTTTACTTCAAGTGTCAAAATCAATGGAACATTCAAAGGCAAACAGAAAACATGTGCTTTGTCTACAAATGTGAGGTTTTGCTCCCAAATTTAGGTTGCATGAAAAAATTTAATTACAGCATGACATCAAACATATGTTTGTGCATTTATTTATTTATTTCTTAAACTACTTTCATTTTTAAGCATAGTTAAGCATATGTGCTAATGTTAAGATCAAAGCAAACTTAGTCACTTTCTAAGTGGCCCTATTTCACAAGACAAACCTTGTGATGGTGGCCAATAATGCATGCTTTTTCTATCTTAAATCTGGAATTCCACTTACCAAATTCTTTGTTAGCCCTCTTGTCCAAAGTCTTTCAAAAATTCTGTAGTCCTCAGAATATCTGCCTCATTAACTGTGGGTCTAGTGGTTGCTAATGATCTCTTTATATCACTCTACAAAGATTCAAATGAATGATAATTATAAGAAATAATATTACTGTATTATTACTAGCCATTCTTTATCAGAACATTCGGCTACCAGTGACTAGCGTACCTACTGTAGTATGGTATTTATGGCTTCAGGTCACACACATCTAACCTAGTCTAACTAAGAAGACAAAAACCAAAAAGAAATACAAAGCACATCAAGGACTAACAGAGACAGGAAGCCACTCTCCACCACACCGTTTCACCAATTGATCAAAGACTAATAGACATTTTCCGCTAGGTTGGTCACGTGTAGTATAGTGGGTATTAATTGTAAACATGCTGCGTGAGCAAAGCTTTGTAATACAAAAAAACGTGTGGCTTCTTTAGAGTGTTTGTGCTGTAAAGCCCATATTTGATGTTGAATAAAGTTGGTTGGAATGCCAAATTGTTTGAAAATTGAAATTGAGAAATGCTAGGCCTACAGTTAGGCCCCTGCATGTCTACGGCCTGTTCAGGTATGCATGAGAGTCTTCGATCCACGAAAAGCGATTTTGACAAGCTACAATTTCTAGGCTAGCTTAGGTTTACGAAGGAGCACATACATTCAAAAGCATGCAAAGCAAATTGAACACTAGAATAGGTATATAAACACTATTTTAAACAATCGTAGTGCCTTTCCTTGCCAGTTAATTCTCACATTAACGGTGGGCAAATGTTTTCGAAACTATAACATTACCCTTTCCTATATTTTAACACTGAACGCACTGTAAATTCTCCATAGTAATACCCACATGACCGGTTGTAAACAAACCTCACAGTGTCTATTAGCTATTGAGTTCACAGATGTCTTAATGGTAAGAAATCATGAATAGAATGTATGATTTATAAATGTTTGGAAAATAAGTCTTGAATAATAGGATAAATATAATAGAATTTATATACAGTAAGGGCAGAGAGTACACTTCACAAAACAATACCATGTGAAAATCACAGGCAGGTGACACTTAATTAACATACCATAGAGACTGGTGGTTCTAGGAGTTTATCACCTGGGACTGTAGTCCAGCTCATCTCAATTGCTCCCTGTGATCCTGGAGAGCATGGCTCCAGTAAGTCATCTACGATAACATTAGCATCTGTTGGACTAGGTCCACGCACCTGATAAATAAAACAACTGTGTTAAGATTCATTCACTCTCATATAGATTTAACAAAGGCATTCATTGCAGAGCACTCCTACTTCATGTACATCAGTTTTCCATACTGCTAGGCTCAAGCCCCTTCACCCTTTCATATACGCAACCACATCCAACCCACTGACTGGCAACCAGACAGATTCTTGCTTCAAAAATGAGCCTCAAAATTGGGCTAAATTTAGCATGAACATGTTATAATATTTTTTATTTAGCATGTTTTTGTAGATTTATCAAAAAAGAACTGATAAAAAATTAAGGTAAATATGTCATGCCGATTTTCAGTTGAAATTCATTACAGTGAGTTCAAAATTTTTGTTAAACAACCTGACACTAGGCTGATCGATGCAGCTACACTTTTTCACAAGAGAACTATGTAAGACTGAATTAGTCACCAAAAATGAGGTCATCAAAATTTGGCCGAGTGGGTATTAAGGTTGTTTACATCGTCAAAGCCCTATGCTGACGCATTGAGCATTTTAAATCATCTAAAATGTAATGAAGTTAGAGTAGAAGATACTTTTTATAACAATGTATACATTTTAAATGATTCGTAGATTCATGAGATTAAGGTTGACTTGATTTAAATTTCCATTCGGATTTACAATGCGCCCTCTCTTTAGAACAATTAAGAAACAATAAAGTATTTGGTAACAAACTTTGGCGTTAACACGAACACCCTATCTCAGACCAATGGCAACGAATAGGACGCCCTCTCCCAAAAGTGACTACTTTTCTGTGCCAAATCGACGCTTCAATTTGTTATAGGTAAATCGCAGAGAACGCCATCTTGTGTTTATAAGATCTTTGTTTAATATCCACTATAGCAGATTTGATTTGGTGACTAATTCGTTCTATTGTGGAAATTTCAAAATACTAATATCAACAAGTGAGAGTATAACTTACACGTCGAAAGTGAGTTGCAGTTTGAATTTTCCTCACAGGCTGCATTAGTGCATCCCTTACAACTATACTGATATCAGCTCCAGAGTAGCCATCACTACTCTTTCCCAGCTCTTTGTAGTCGTTTTCTGTTAATGTCGTTTTTGTTGAGCCCATATGCATTTTGAACATGTGTGTCCTGGCTTGGGGTTCTGGTAGAGAAATGAAAATTCTCTTTTCAAACCTGTAAAAAATAAATTGGTAGTAATCATATGTAAATAATACTGTATTAATATTTGCAGTAATAATTATTATAATAACAACAAAATATGCATATGAATACTGAATCATCCTAACTTATAACAAGAATATACGGAACTTGCCAGACACATAATTTTGACAATTATTTCCGTACCTTCTTCGGATAGCAGAATCTAACACCCATGGAATGTTGGTAGCGCCTAATACCAGAATACCGTCATTGTTGTTACCAACACCTTGCATCTGTACCAAGAACTCCGTTTTGATACGCCTGGCTGATTCGCTCTCATTTTTACCACGTTCACTGCAAAGTGAGTCTACCTCATCGATGAAGATGATGGAGGGTTTGTGATCACGAGCCATTTCAAAGAGCTGCTTCACTAACCTAATAAAACAAAGTCATTGAATAAATAATGTGGAGCGGTCAAGGTGTCTGAGTTAAAATCACAGGTCCTAGATTCAATTTCACTCAACGAACAGGATCACGACCAAAAAAAAATTTCTCTCTAAAGCACTGTGCTGTCCAGACTGTCAAGTTTTAATACACACATTCCGCGGGGGTTGTTTACAGCCAGTCATGTGACATATAGTGTGTATTACTATGGAGAATTTACAGCGCAATCAGTGTTAAAGTATAAGAAAGGGTAATGCTACATGGTTTAAAAAAACATTCGCCCACCATTAACATGAGAAATAAACCTTTTTTGTCAAGGGATAGTTTGATAGTGCGGACAGAACTTGAGACTCAGAACATAGCTTGGATAAACCATGGAAGTATTATTCAGATCAATCGGCAACAGATCCTTTTGACGCGACAAACCAATGTGTTGCCCACCTTTGCACCACAAACGGGCATCTATCTTATTATTACCATTTTTTCGTTAGCAACAACTTAACAACACGCTTTTATATGCTTCAACACAGCAGCTGTGCAACAAACTGTTTGTTAACTCACTAAATATCTTTAAAATTAACAATGTTCCCCCAATTGGATTTTTAGTATATTATTATGTGTATATTTTAGTAACAGATTTCCCAAAATATTTCTGTTGCAAATTACTTAGAACTGTGTTCATTATAATTGTGCCTAATGACTGACTGGTTTGACTATAAAGCTGAGGCAGCGTAAAACTGAAAATTACTCAGTTTTGATTTTGGATTGAATTCTCGAATAGTCCACACACTCACTCACACTAAAATACTTGGTTTATTATAATCTTCAATCACTCCTTAAATAATATCTGTTACAATTAGAATTATCAAGTTTTATCCAATTTATGGGAATTTAAGTTGAAATATACCACACTTTTAAAGCTCATGTAAATGTTTCATTGAATTAGAAAACCTTTTTTGTAGAAAATAATATGTTTGGTATTTTCTAAAAGATAAATGTGTTAGCTTTAAGGTGGAAACAACTACGCATCCATAGTGATTGACTGTAAGCAATACGCATTGAGAAACAAGGTGTTTTCCATTCTTCCATGTTCTATTTCTTGGAAAACTAAGCCCGCTTAGCATTTGCTGGCGGGGAACACATTAAACTTCAAAGGCATCGCTGTTCATTTGCATAGCGCTGCGTGTGCAAAGCCTTTTCGAGTGATCTCCTTCTCAATTATACCTCCATGGTTTAATGTAGAACATCTTGAGTTTATGAATCATTTATATTTTTCTAATTTAAAATTTAGTAATAAAAACAAAAATGTATTAAAATCAGGGAGAGTTAGGGACAGCTACGCAGTGCAAATTATTGCAGCAAAAATGCTGTAGCGGCAGCGTAGCAATTTTATGGAGGCTTCATGGACATTTAAACCTTCCTTTGACAAAGTAATGAGAAGTAGGTGAATAATTTGAAAGGTAGGAGAACAACCCATAACGTGCAGCATCATTGTGCTGAATTGCACATGGCCGTGGTCCGTGACTACTGTTAGCAGCCGTACAGAGGCGTTTAGTTTACAACATACCACAAAGAGAGGAGCTGAAATGAACTATAGCATTTAGGGAAACCCCCTACTCTTCTGAAGGATGCAATGGATTCTCTATAGTGCACACAGCCAGATGCGTACACAAGACCCCCGTTTTGAGTCTTTATTTTAGAAGACTTGGTTCTACCAAACCAAGCCCCCAGCGTCGATGTTAAGGCTGTAATTAGCGAAGCACATGCTTTACCGCTCAGCCACTCGACCCACCAAATTTACATATTATGGTTTTGATAATGCAATAATAAATATATGGAATAAAAAACACTCATTGTTACACACTTTTCACTTTCTCCAAGCCACTTAGAAACCAGATCCGATGATGACACAGAAAAGAAGGTTGAATTATTAGCCTCTGTTGCCACCGCTTTTGCTAAGTAAGATTTACCCGTACCTGGGGGCTAGAAACAATAACACATAATACATTAAACTCATAAGTATTAATGACAACACATTACAAAATGATGAAATTCATATTATAACTATATATATATATAGACATACAATAACTAATTAAAAATAGATGAGACGTACCAGTCTGATGTAATAGAAAATAAAACTCAAAAAACATACTTTAAACTAGTCTTTAAAGTACTAAAAGTTTTTTTAGTTTATTTTCAATCACTAAATAGGACTATTGAGAAGGTGGAATAGAATAAGAACCAGGCTTCTTTGCGGAACCTCAAATAAAAGAGCTTTCCCTGAACATTACACCTGTAGGTTTAGCTGAAGCCCGAGTAAAGACGATTGCTGGTTAGAATTATCAAATCCTGCACCTCCTGTTAAATGAAAAAAAATGTCATGATGTCATGTTTTTAGCCAACGATGGATATTTGGCTTACCCCAAATAGCAAGATACCTCTCCATGGTTGACGCTTGCCTGTGAACAGGTGAGGGAATTTGATGGGTAGGATAACAGCTTCCTTCAAGGCCTCTTTGGCAGCATCAAGCCCTGCTACATCATCCCAAAGAATATTTGGTTTTTCCATTACAATTGCACCTATATTTTGGAAATAAATTTATATTTATGTAAAGCATAAATTTCAAATTGCCTCTCTTAAATTGTTCAGATTGTTTTAAGTTGCATATGTAATTAATTTACTGTATACCTTTGAACACACAATTATGTTGATTATTAAGGTGGGCTTATAAACAGAAACCAGAAAATACAAGTAATATACAGAGTGCCTGCATGCCTATAGCTAAGCTAAAAAGAATAAGCCTTACAGAGAGTCCACATACAGCCTGGGTCCCACAATGAAAACCTAGAGAGTCCCAAATATCCCAAGCATAGTGTTACAATGTAGAGCAGTATTTCGATGCCAAATTTCAATGTAATTAATTTTATACTCAAACTGATTACATTTAAAGCATATAACAGAATGTTTGTTCTAAACCTCGAAGATTAGGGGGCAAATAAGAAAAACAAAGATTTGTGAAAATTCTTTCATCAACCTATGTTTTGAGTGAGGTCCAACCTGCCTATTACCCTGGCATGTACTGTACAGTGAACATTACATGTGTAAGTCTGATTTCACTGTAAGTGTGTTACTATGTACTGTGTGTGATAATACTTAATTCTAAGAATTGTGATAGGATAAAGATACCAACAATGGATCTTAATGTAGGGACTTGTGAGAGTGGGGGGACAAGTGAGAGTGCATCCACTCGCTGCAAAGTACTCAATATAAATGTATGCACTATTGATTATGTGGAGAACACACCAAAAAATCAGATGCCGGAGGACATTTTCCCATGGCTGTAATGACTACGTACATTCTGCATATTGAAGTATATCGTTCATTTATGCACAAAATGAACAGACTGCGCTTTCTTCCCTTTGTATACGCTTTGATTCAACATACCTTGAAGCTGGCCTTGCAATTTTTTAGTCTCTGCATTTTCATCACTGTCACTGTCGCTGCCATTATTCTTGTCATTCTTACTACTATTTTTACCACTGTAATAATACCAAGAACAAAAGTTAAATTCAAGTTGGACTAATATAAAAGTGTCATACACAACATACCATAGTTCTGGTATAAGCCCACCCTCCTTGAAGGGTGGGGGGGGAAAGGTGGGGCTTATACCTAGTGAATCCCTTTTTCAATAAAAAGGCAAATTTTCATCACTGCATGCCTAATTCAAAGTTACTATTTTAATTTTTTTTTATCGAGTACATAAATATCAGTTACTAATTCAAATTATACCCTGGATTTTTGCCAGAGTAAAGGCTGATATGTAAAATTGGGCGTAAAGCAGGGGGCAGGCTTATACCCGAGATGGGCTAGTACCTGAAGAACTACATGGTAATTGGAAAAGTACTAATGATAAATTGGATTGGATATTTTTGGTGTTATATTAAGTTTAACACAAGAAATTTGAGGACTTATTTCCATTGGAGTCCTTTTTGTAGCGAATTTGTACAGTAAACTGTGAGACAATCCCCTTCATCACTATGCACAAGAGCAATATTGCACACTGGACCAACAACTTAAACATCTCATCCAAAAGATGTTGTCTATTGTATTCCATCCATCTAGCTGATACAATAAGTGTAACGATAACATTGAACCAGAAATTTCCATGGTTCACAGCACACACATAGTGGGCACCACCAGTTTGGACTGAGCTTTCTGTATGCTGCTCTAGTAAAATAACACGAGCTATTGGCTAACGTACCTTCCTTTACTTTCTGAGTCTTTGACTTTTTTCTTGCCCTGTTTCTTGGCAATATGTTTTTTCAACTGTTCAGCTCGTTCTAGATATGAGCTACATTTTGCTCTGATGCTTTCCTTGGCTCTATCTCCATGTGCTTCATCTGAGAATGATTAAAACATGACGAAATGGAATAAACCATTCTGTATTCAATTATTTACTTTATCTCTTCCTTCAATATTATTAAAAGTGGTAATGAAGCCCTGTTAGTCTAAACAATATACAAAGAGTGCTGCCTTTTAATTCTCTTCAAAATTATTAAAAGACACAAGCTTTTGTTATTATTTAGGAAAAGAAATGTTTTAGTTAATTTTTATATATCATAATAATTATGGTTAATTATTGCTAAATATAATATCTATTGAATTGCACAGTTAAATTTTTTTTTTAATGTTCAATTTATGTAAATTATATATTTACTGAAAAGAAAATTTTAAAAACTTCATAGTCTTACGATACCGTAATATAAAATGCAGCCAGACTGAAATTCTTTAAAGAATGCTGAAATATTTTCATATACTGTAGATTTCTAAAACTGCACACCATCCCATGGCGTACAATATATTTTTATTACATTATATTCATATTTTTAATAACAAGTTTCAAAACATATAAGTATTTCCCTGTTTGAGATCTCTGCAGATATTATTCTCCTGAAGACGGTTGAAGCAAGTCAACCGAAAAGTCAAGATATTCTCAACCAACAACAACAGTTCTTTTCAGAACTATCTACGTGGTATACCGCAAGCATTAATTATATATTATACTTCGCCATGCAAACCTTCAAACAATATTTTGTTCAGCTCTACGGGGAGCAACTACATCATCTAGTCAGAGAATTTGAGCGTCAGTGCATTAAACATGCGAAACTGATTAACAACCTGACTTTTCTCAAGAGATGCAGAGATTCCAACGTTATTCCTCAAGGCCTTTTACTGATAGGCTCAGCCTTTGTTTAGTTTTCAACCAATCAGCAGCAAGTTTCATCACTCAAACATACAAGTATTTCCCTGTTTGAGATCTCTGCAGATATTATTCTCCTGAAGACGGTTGAAGCAAGTCAACCGAAACGTCGAGATATTCTCAACCAACAACAACAGTTCTTTTAAGAACTATCTACGTGGTGTACCGCAAGCATTAATTATATAATTATATAAGTTTCAGAATACCATATAACTATTTTAGCAAACATGTTGTTTCCAAATACTTACATTTGATGCAATGTATAAAGTACTCCACCCCATGTTCATAAAGTCTCAGGGCCTCTTCGTAATTCTTCTCCTTGTCTTCTTGAGTGGCCTTTGTAATCAGGTCAATCGCTTTCTGGTAAGAAAATGTTATGTCAACAATAGTCATAGTGTATTACTTCACTGCAAAAGCTTTTGGGCCCAATCGTCCAATTCGTGCAAAATTTTAAACAATCGAGAGAGGATGAAGATTTACTACTAGCCACTTTTTCTTAGACAATAATAAAAATAAAACCCTGGGCCTATAAATAATATGCCGTGGTTATTGATCCGACTCCGGAACCAAACTTCCCAGCGTTAGAAGTCTGACACACTAATTGAGCATGCGCAACGAATAAATTAAAAGATCATTGATATTTTCGAAGTAATGGGCCAGAACGTCAGCTAGGCAAAATCATTTCAGCCAATGCCATGTCTGTCATTTGTATTTGTTGATGTTTGGTAAACCGAAATAAAAAAAAATTAATAAATATATGATCATTCTTTTTTAAGAATAACATATTTAACATGGTAATAAAATACCTATAGGCCTAGGTCTATGTTAACTAAATTGAAAAACAAGTAAGTCAGATTGAAAGTGGGCCTGAAAGTTCACACTAGGTGGACCAGATTGTCCGCCTGTGTATAAATGTATTTTTACAGTACTACTGTAGAGAACAAGATGACGAATGTAATCTGAATAAACCACTTTATAGTTAGATGCACAGCAATCATAGCATATTATGTTATTCTTTAACACATTCCAACTATCTTCGATATGATAAACTAACATTACGAACACTCAGTCAACGCTGTCAATCAAATATTTGGCCTACCTAGCATTTCAGTCGGCAACAGTAATTGGAATCAAACTGTATAAAAAATATTGAACACGAAACATTTAAAAATGTTAACAAGCATTATGGCTTGGCCAGTAGGACGACGTCAGATGAAAAATCCCCGGGGTTGACAGTAATATAATACATTTTCCACGGAAGTTATCGGCGGTTACCACATGGTAAAGTTATTCAAGTTATTTACGAAAATGAATATGCATTGCAACCCCCAAATTGAGCCTCGGTGTCATACAGTAAATGTTGTGAATTTGTTTGAATATTATGCTTTACTTTTAAAAACCATAAACTACTATGGACTATGACTAGGCTAGTATAATTCATACACTTGATTTTCTGAATGTTATACACCACTGGCAAAACGAAGGACATTCGTCGTGACGAAGGGATGGTTTTGAATTCGAAAATTTCAATGACATTTCGGTTCTCACATTAAAGTTTTCTGATGCGTTACTGCCAGTGGCCTAGCACTCACTGATCAGTGCCTAGCATTCTGTCTTTACACTGTAAATGCCTAGCTCACTTAACACTACTGTACCTTTTTTACGATCTCTAGTAGAATAGGCCTAGAAGGCTTCCGCTGAAAAACATTTATGTTTCAGTTACTTTTTACTACATAAATAGAGGTAACTTCATGTTTCAGTTTTATTTCAACCCTCGCTTGTGATGTTTTGACTTCAAAAAATATCAATGAATCTTTCATTTCATTGCACATGCGCAATACTGTGTTAGACTTTTAACACTTGAAGTTGGGTTCCAGTGTCGAATCAATAACCATGATGGCGTAATAATAATAAAACCTTGCAATTATACAGGCCTATCTAAAGCCTTGAACTGGATTCGAAAAATCAGGCCTGCTAGACCTAGACTAGTTACTTTTTGCGCTAGGATTAACCAACCGCACTCAAATCAGCCTAGGCCTAGGCCCAGCCCAACCTGCAGGCTGCTAGATTAGGCTGAGGTAGGGCCATGTCCGGCAGAATTGTTCATTGGTTCAGTGCGCCTAGACAGAGGGATGTGGTTAGCCTATTTTCTATATAGCTAATTAGCAGGCAAAAGTTAACATTCAGCGGTATAGAGCAAAGATCAAAAGAAAAACCTTATATACCTGCATACTTGGACTAGACATGTTTATAATGTCATGTAGGCCTAGGCCTATGTCTACCTAATACTTTACAAAAATTAATTGGCAAAAAATGTTATTTTCCGCCTATCAATACTCAGCTACTAGGCCTATCTCTTTTTCTCCAGCTTTCTTTGCACTTCCGAAATTACGTCAGTGCTGGTATGACCTTTAGCTTTACCATTAAAAACAAAAATTGTATATACATTTTTTTTTAATCTACAAAAAAAATTATAAAAAATACACTATAGCAATACAATAAATATTTTAATTTAAATAATATATTTTGTACTGTAATTCTTGCACTTATTTAATTATTTTGTTTACTAAATTATTGTATTTTACATAGCTTGCTAATAATCGTCTGCTATTATTGGAAAGTGTGACTGTGAATCATGGGCTTATTCGACTGGTTCATTTCGTTGAGTACGAATTTTCATTGAGTATTATTTTCATTCGACTGGTTCGTTGACAACGAATGCGACAATCAGCGTTATGTTATGCACGTGACCAAAGAAAATACGGCCGATTGGTCAGTTTAGCAACAACATTTGCGTTAATATTTTAGATTAAATTTTAGAATATAAAAATTATAGGCTAATATTCTGGGCGGATGCGGGGGGGGGGGGAGAATTTAGTCGCACCCCCTAAATTCTATTAAGAAAGATAATTGTTGTACTGTATTATATTGTTGAATTATTGGTAAGATTTTTAAGGTATGAGAGTGCAATTGGCACCCAGAGCTCGATATTCTCAAAAGTTTCGCGCCTCAGCCCCAACCATGGTGGGACTGAGGTGAATGTGGCCACGCTTTGATATAGGTCAAATAAATTAAATACATCAAAGAAAGTGTTTCTTTATTTTTTTTTTCTATGTTACATCACTCTTAATAATTAGTTCTCTGTGGTTGCCGAAAATCCCTTATTAAAAATCATGAGAAATTTGCTCGCGCTTTATCTAGACATGATGGTGTGTGATGATGATGAATTTTACTATATAAAAGTGTCATTTCCGGCCATCTAAAGGTACTATTTCCTCAAATTTTCCCACACGTCAACCCCAACCATGGTGGGGCAGAGGTGGTTGTAGCATCACTGCTTTGAACTAGGTAAAGTTAATACATCAAAGAGAATGTTTAGTTATATTTTCACATACTACACATTACTATTTAGATCTCTATGGTTGCCGAAAATCGCCGATAACAAAACAAGAAAGATCAAGAAAATTTGTTGACGCTTCATTTTGACTATATAATGATATAGTGATGTGATGATGATGAAATTTACTATTATAAATGTGTCATTTCCGGCCATCTACATGTACTAATTCTTCAATTTTTTTGCACGCACCCCCTACCGCCAAATCATGCATCCGTCCCAGATATTTACCCACATTGAAGTCAAAAAATAATTCTAGGTTAACAGAATTCAAAAACCGGATGAAAACAATTTTTTACGAAAAACCCATACTGCCACAATCCGAAGCAGCCTTAATTACGCAGCGTGTATCGCGGTAACTATGCACCATTTTGTTTTGTCGAGTATTTACCAGTTTTCTATTCGACTGGTCATCTTCGTTAAGTAGGATTTCACTACTGCACAGGTGGGCGTGGTTTAACGAAGACCGATCAGTCGAATACGGCAAATAACAGCAAGCTGAACATTCAACAAAAATCGCCACTTTACCTGCATAGGGTTGTTGTTTGAATCTGTCCACTCTCTTTGATAAACTAAGCTTATCATTTTGTTTCAGTATTGACTACAGAATCTGTCGGCAGTAAAATATGGTCTATTCTGTGGATAGGCTTATGGCTAAATGAATGTAAAGTCGAGTGTGCCTCTGTCACGAGAGATTCAAACGACTGTTCATCTCTAAAAACAGACATGACGTCATAATATTAATTGTGAATAATAATTTTCTTGTCGTTTTTCTTTATTGGTGAATGATAATTTCACGTGAATTTTAACTGTTAACTGTATAAAAAAATAATTAAAAACCTCGTAGATTATAATGTCTTAACTGGCATGGCAATTGAAAGTATGTAGCATGATGTCGGCCTAACCCGGTTAGGTTAAGCATATTTCTATTTGTAGAATCGTAGCAATGGGACTTTCTAAAGCATTATATATTATGTCGTTTCTCTTTACAGTATTGAAATTAATACAGTAATTTTGTTTAATTGTTACTGTCGTTGTTTTTAAACATTTTTGATAGAGACATCCTGAATATCAGCTGGCCTTCCAGGCCAGCCGAATTACCTTTTCTAATTAAATCTTAAATAAAAAATATTAAATTAAATTTTAATAAAAAGAAAGCTAATTACCAGTCGGCCATAGCGTTGTAAAGTAGTTTTATGAAATATTTCTAATACGTAGAGGCAACTCATTCCAAGTAACAGAACCCGCATTAAAGAAAGATGATTTACCAATATTGATTTTCACTTGTCAAGTGAATTTTGCCTTTGTCTCGTCTGGTAACAGAGTGCAATAATGAATGTGATAATTTTATATAAATTAAGTCATACAACTGAATTGGAAGATTTGTTTCAGTGAATCCTGTGAGTCCATAGGCCTACGAAATTTATCTTCGCAACAGAGGACGTAGACAGTGATAATGTTGTGTGTTTTGGTTCTGTCAGTTAAAACTCATAAATTATTCATGGAAAGATCAAGAGGTATAGCAAAATACTTACACGCTGAAAGTAAGTAGCAGTTTGAATCTTTCTTACTGGTTGCATCAGTGCATCCCTTACAACAACACTGATATCTGCTCCTGAGTAACCTGCACTTCCTTTGCCCAAATCTCTGTAGTCGCTTTCTGTCAGTGTCAGTTTTGTTGAACCCAAAAGATTTCTAAATATGCACCCTGGCTGGTTCTTCTGGTAGGGAAATTAAAATTCTTTTTTTCGAACCTGTAACACATAAAAAGATATGTAAAAATTATATTACTGGTTTATGATTATGAGTAAAAGTTCCATTTTATCTAGGCAATATTTACTTGCATTGATTCCAATTGTGTTCAGGATCTTACCTGTTTAGCTGTTCAACTATTATTCCGTGCTTCTGTGTTAAAGTAATAGTTACTGGTCAGTAATATTCACTAGAATTCAAGTAATAGTCGTATGTGTTCTGGTAATACCATGTGGTTAGTAATCTGTTGTGGTCAGGTTATAATAGTATTTTGTGTTAGAGTGATAGTCGCTTGTATTCCGGTAATAGGGACTTTTATTCAGGTAAGAGTCACTTGGGTTTACCTTAGGCCTACCATAGGTTTGTGTAATGCTTTTTACTAATTATTAGTCTCTAGTGTTCAGGCAATTATCACTTGTGTCCATTTAAATTACACACAAAACATATGTCAGTAACTATGAACAACAGTTCCGTACCTCAGTCGGATAGCTGAATCTAACACCCATGGAATGCTGGTAGCGCCTACCACCAGAATACCATCATTGTTGTTACCAACACATTGCATCTTGACACGTCGGGTTGATTCGCTCTCATTTTTTGCACATCCACCGCACATTAATTCTACATCGTCGATGAAAAAATGGAGGGTTTGTGATTACGAGCCATTCAAAAGAGATGTTTCACTGAACTAATAAAAGCAGTTATTGCGTTATTAGTAACTAACCAAATACACGTTTTAATTTGCATTAAAATTTTAGATGTGACAGTGGTTATACCAGGGAGTTGTTAACTCCCTGGTTATACTAACGTAAACAGAGTGTAGGTCTGCGCATTTACCAATATTTCCATTTGATTATTTCACAGTTATCGGATGATGACGATGATAATGATGATGTCCAGCCTTGACCATTCTCTTAGAATTTTAATGTTTTTATTTTGCTGTAAACTTATCATATCCAATTTTGCTTTAAACTAATTTTACCAGTTTTATATCCCTGATTAGTTGTTGTTTATGTGTAAGTGGTTAAGGTATGATTTGACGATACCTATCCATGTTTTAATACTACTACTAATAATAATAATAATTGGCTGCCAATGTATTGTAAAAAATTTTGATTTAAATTTGAATTTGAAATGATGAAAATTGATCAATTGTTATGAGAAACGTGAGAGAATTTCTACACATGATCGATTTAATAAAATTAAATTATTATAAACATTTTTTACAATAAGGTAATATATTACACACAGATTAGAAATGTGTGTTTAACACAATGTATCCAACCTGGGTTATTAAAAAAAAAAATGCGGATGACAAGACCTCAAAGCCCCAGACGCTGCCTGCCTGATTTATCAACAGTGGGATAATTGTATGTAGGCCTATGTATTTATATACTTATTATAGTCTCTTAAACAGCAAATTTCTTTTATTGAAAAAAATAAAATGGGTCATATTTTGTCTCATCTTGTATGATTGTTGAGGTTTCCTAATTATGAAATTGCAATAAATAGTGAATAATTTTTTAAAAGGGTAAATTATTGTTACACACCATTCACTTTCCCCAACCCACTTACAAACCAAATCTGACGAGGACACGGAAAAGAAGGTCCAGTTTTTAGCCTCTGTTACCACCGCTTTTGCTAAATAAGTTTTACCCGTACCTGGAGGCTAAAAAAAATAATATTCCATTCATTTAACACTATTGTTAATGACAAGGCACTACAGAGGATGGTTGAGGCTCACATGCTAAGGCCTATGTATAGGCATGCAGCAAAGCAACACTTAACATAAAGCTATAATATTGGCGTAGAGAAAGAAACGGGAATGTAAATAGAGAAAACATTATGAGGCTAACGTAGCCTACTATTATTGAGGAGAATTAAGTTAGACCAAGAAGAAATTCACACAAACAGTGCCTAATGCCGTAGCTTATTTTTCTGATTATCAGGGGCGGATTTAGAGGGGGGGGGGGGTAAACAGGCTTTAGCCCCCCCCCCCCCAAATGTCATAGTAATTTCTTTTTACTGCTTTTTGAAGGTCCAAATTAAAATATTGTTTAATGATTTCTTCACAAACATCACATTTATGGGCTAAACATTTTACAGTAGTTGTTTTTTAGTGATAAAATAAATATGAAATACGTTTTTTAACCAATCAGCGGACAAAAAACGTAGCTAAGAAAGCTGCTTTTGCCTTGCCTTCATGCTCAAATCTCGAAGCAAAGGCCGTTGTGTAGCGGTCTCGTTTGTATAATACACTAAACTTTTCGTGTCGCGCGGGTTTCGTTCGTTCGTTGATTCATTCATTCATTTAGTTAGTCAGTCAGTCAGTCAGTCAGTCTGTCTGTCATTCAGTCAGCCCAGGAAATTAACTGTTCCCTGGGCAGTCAGTCATTCTTTATTCATTCATTCAACATCACTCAATTCATTGCAAACAATTCGCTCATATTATGAGTCCATTATACTCCTGACCGAACAGAGACAAACCAATGAAGGTGTATTTATTTCAACAAATAATTGTTTAAAACTCTTTTTCCTTCTCAACGGAGTGGCCTGCTTTGTCTCTTGGGGCCACTATCTTGGTCGCAGACTCTGAGCACCCTGTCGTCTGTCTGTGGCAGGGCAAAAATGTGAAACCTGCTCCTTTGTTCGCGCTACCAAGGTAGGGGACCGGGATTGCGCCAGGGCAGAGGCGGAACGTTGACCCTTTGAGACCTAGCGCTGTTTTGTCACCACACCTTATTATATTATTGTATAGTCAACATTTTTTTTTTTTTAATAATTTTATATAAAGTGCATAGTGGCACTGCGCAATATTCGCTATATAAATTTTTATAAATTATTATTATTATTATTATTATTATTATTATTATTATTATTATTATTATTATTATTATTATTATTGTCTAAGGACACAGGAATAAATTTATAAGTTGTAGATTTGTCTTTTTATTAGAGCGATTAGGCTATGCCCACAAAAAGTGCACAATGAGCACAATCAATTCTGAATCTGAGATCCCACCAATGTGTTTCCATATTTCAGGCCTAAGTAAAGGAAGAGATTAAACCTACAACTTACACCGAATAGCAAGACTCTTCGGCATGGTTGACGCGTGCCTGTGAAGAGGTGAGGGAAATCGGCAGCTTCTTTCAAGGCTTCTTTGGCTGCGTCAAGCCCCGCTACATCGGACCACTGGATGTTTGGTTTCTCCATATTTACACCTATTTAAATTAAAATTATGATCGTTCAATTAAATAATTAGATTTTATATTAAACAGCTTAAACATTCTACTACAATAATCTTAAATAGATTACCAATCAATTTAAGGGTCTATGCAAAAGAATAAAGAATAACTATTATTTAACTAAATTTTTAATTTATTTTTACATGGCAGACAATACATAATAGCAGACCAATAGTAATGGTAATAATATATAATAACAACAACAACAACAATAATAATAATAATAATAATAATAATAATAATAATAATAATAATAATACAGGAACTTGTACCGTGCCTTAATAGATATAAAAATGATGTTGATGATGATGATATTTATTTGTAAAATATACTGTAGGCCTACCTTGAAGTTGGCCTTGCAATTGTTTATTCTCACTGCTGTCACTGTCATTCGCTGCCATTATTTTTTTTATCATACAAAAGATACCATATTTTTTCATTTCATTTTATTTGGCATCAAACAATAAAAATACAGTTATAGTAAAATATAGGCCCTATAGGCCTAAATACAATTAAGAAAAGTTAGGTCTATTATAACATTGAACATGGTATGATTTCGTGACTTAAGTAAGCATTTGTAGTTTTTAAAGTAATTTGTTTCATTTAAATTGTCGGTGTGATAACACACAGCGAATTTCTGAATAAAATCACAACCGATTTGAGGCTCATCATAAACTCAGCTAGCTACCTACTTTCTGAACTTCCGCAATTACGTCACTGCTGGTATGACCTTTAATTCTACAGTTTAAAATAACAAATTTATATACATTTTGAATAATTCTATAAAGAAAATAAGTTAAAAATTACGATAAGTTAAGATTATTATACTGTAACTTACTGTACTGTAATACTGTAATTTAATTAAATTTGTATAATTACATAATTATTTTAATTACATTGATACCGAATAAATATAATATTATTATAATAATAATTCCTTGTTTATTTAGTTAGTTTACAAAAATATTGTATTTTACATTAGCTGCTTAACAATCGTCTGCTATAAAATAAAGTGTGATTGTGCATCATCTGAATTATGTATGCATGTATTTGGTTTAATAACAAAGTAATCAGGAGTAAAGTCGTCCTGTACAGTAGGACTAATAATTGTTTAGGTTGAAAGAGATTTTTATGTAAGTTCTAAAAAATGAGAATATATTATTTTTTGGTTTCTGCTCTCTAAATTTTCAATAATCAGTATTCTAAAGTAATATAACATGTTTGAAAATAAAAGAGTGAGATTGAATGTTTTCAGTTTAAAAATCGCCTCTTTGCCTGCATAGGGTTATTGTTGGAATCTGTCCTCTCTATGATTTAGATAAGCTCATTTTCTTTCAGCATTAACTGTTACGACGCTTTACTTCGGTAATTTAAAGTTTTTTTTGGATATACTGACAATGAAATTGAGAATATTGAGCGAGTGTCACAAGATTGCAATAACAAAGTTCATGTCTATAAACAGAGTTGACGTCATAATATTTTGTATTGGTGACAGATAATTTCACGTCTTCTCTTACTAATTTGCATATGCGAATAATGTTTGGGTAAGTGGGTTATCCTTAAGTTACATTTCTTCGTTATCATTTATGGAGGACTGGTGCACAGTTAATAGTCAACAGTTAACAGTTAAATAAAATATTTAATTTAAAATCTCATACATTAATGGATTGTCTGATATTGCAATAAAAGCTACAGGATGTGACAGTGTCAATAGCCAACGAGCTGCAGAGATTGTGTCGCCCAACCTTTACCTGAATTCTTCTAACATAGCCACAATGCGGTTAAACATTTTGACTTGTTGAACAAACTTTGTTGCATAGCAATGGAATAAGACTATTTAAATCCAAAAAACCAGTTGTAGTTTAAGGTTTATGTCATTTGACCATTTATTTCTAATTAATGCAAGCACTTCTACTCGTAAAGAGAGTTGCCAAATTCTGAAAAGTATCTAGTATTCATCCTTTAAGAGACTATAGGCCTACTAATGATTATACAATTAATGGTTTGTCTTAATTATTTTGTTTGGACTTTATTATAGAGCACTTTGTAATGCCACACAATCAGAAAAGAGTCTCTCGAATTAGACATTATAAACTCTTTAATATATTTAACAGTATACATTCAACCATTAAGTGAAAACCCAATGGTGTTCACAAGACCAATTACAGCGTCCCAAACAATTGTGAAATATAACATTATTGGGGAAACTCTTTTACAAATATGAAAATCGTATTCCTATACTGCATACTGCTATACTGTATACATACATTTTTAATCTCTCTCCACCCCTTCCCCTCCTCCCCTCTCCGTCTCTCTAACATTATGAAAACATTTCCCCAGCCAGAATTAGAACAATCCTTCTACTGTTTTTTGTAGACGCCTTACCAACTGTACCATCCGGGCTTCTTTGAGAATTTAATTCCGATTAGTTTTTGCTAATGCGTAGTGGAACAATACTAGTTTTTGACCTATGCATTTTATTATTTTAGACCAGACTACTATCATTCACGTCTTTTTAATTTGGCCTGGCTATTTTAAACTGGAACAGGTGACTTTTTAACTGGAGCGAATTACTTTTAGCCATGATCTTGTACTGTATAATGTGTTCTTTGATTATAATGATGCTAACTTTGACTCTTCAGCATTTCAGCCATCCTCCTACCACGAATATGTGTTAACCCTTTTCTCCAAAGTATTTCATGAACTCGGAAAGCTTTTCAATATCGTCTTCAAAAACAGTAGGCCTCGTGTCTTTTAATGAACTCTTTAGATCATTCTGCAAGGAATCAATCGAATCGTAATGGTATAGGCGACAAGACGGAACTATACTTGTATCCAGCTCATGGGGGCGTACTTCATCGAACTGCACTAAACTTGTAACTAGTATGAATGGTTTGAAATTGGGGAAAACGAAGGAGACGGTATAATCTAGAAGGTTTTTTTCACACTTTTGACTATGTATACATTAACCGGAATAAAAATACTCTGATGTGACGGTGATGGCATCCAACACCATCTAATATTACTTTTCACTCATTACAAAAACTTTAAAAACGAATGAAAAAGATAAACCTACCATTGTGACAGGTGGCTCAATGAGTTTTTCAGCTGGGACAGTTGTCCAATTCATCTCAATTGCGCCTAATGCGCCTGGAGAACACGGCTCCAATAGGTCGTCTACTATAACATTAGGGTCATTTGGATTAGCTCCACGTACCTGATCAATAAAACATGATAAATGAGTTAACATTAATTAATGTTATAGTAGAGGGTAGCAAAATCTAGTCCATGGGTCCTTGGCTTAAATCGAGTTCATCCAGCTTGTATTTTAGCTACAGGTTTGTTACAAATGCACTGGTTTTTTTTTTCTTTGCTCCTTAAAATACTCGATAGTAGGAGCTTTTCTTAGGTCAGTCTGCTGTACGTTAATCTGCACAACAGTCGGCGTCGACAGTGATTTTGTAGACAATGATTTAAAACCTTAAAAAACAAAACTATTAAAATAGAGGTCGTATAGCAAATACTTACACGCCGAAAGTGAGTGGCAGATTGAATCTTTCTTACTGGTTGCATCAGAGCATCTCTTACAACAATACTGATATCTGCTCCTGAGTAACCTGCACTTCCTTTGCCCAAATCTCTGTAGTCGCTTTCCTTCAGCGTCGATTTTATTGTGCCCATAAGATTTCTGAACATATGCGTCCTTGCTGATTCTTCTGGTAGGGTAATGAAGATTCTCTTTTCAAACCTATAACACATAAATGGGTATATATTATGGGAATTATATTAATGGTAAATGATTATGGGTCACCTTAATAATATTTGTCGCATGATGGTTTACATTAAATTATACTGCATCTAAATCTAAAAATAAACTTTATTTTCTAATAAATTCTTATTGATTGTAATTTTTAAGGGGTTTTTTTTCTAACTTTTTGGTGGCAGTATATATTTAGTTACCTACGAGTTGTTGATTCGGTAATATTGCCAAGTGTACATAGTGCCATATACGTCACGATGCTTATGTAATTATGTTTATGTGTTCTGTGACGGTGGGTAATAATCTGTACGTGTTCAGATAATAGTCACTTAATTGTGTTTAGATATAAACTACATGTGCCCAGGTAATCATAATCCCATGTATGCTGGTAATATCCCCACGTGTTCAGATAATATGCTCATCCATTGCTGCCGAGAGCGGCCTAACGAAGTTGCCGGGGCCCCGCAGAAGCGGAGGTCTGGGGGCGTCGTTTTACAGTATGTACTTAGATGCCCAAATCGGAACATTTGTGAATGTCGTTCAAAATTTCCTTAATTTCCAAATACAGCTTATTATTTCCTTTAACAGTTTTGTCCCGGGGCACGTATTTCGATTATAGTTTTCTCACCTCTTCTGGTAATACTGACCTGGATTCAGATAATAGCTTCATGTGTTGAGTTTACAGTCTCTAATTGTCCATTGTGTTCGTGTAAAAGTTCCAGTCCACAGGTAATAATCACATGAGTGGCCCTGAAATAAATTACCTTACTAGTGTAGATAAAAAAGGGAACTTAAAGGGCCCGTACCTTCTTCGGATTGCTGAATCTAAGACCCATGGAATGTTGGTAGCGCCTAATACCAGAATACCGTCATTGTTGTTACCAACACCTTGCATCTGTACCAAGAACTCCGTTTTGATACGCCTGGCTGATTCGCTCTCATTACTCCCACGTTCACCGCACATCGAGTCTACCTCATCGATGAAGATGATGGAGGGTTTGTGATCACGAGCCATTTCAAAGAGCTGCTTCACTAACCTAATAAAACAAGGTCAATTAGTAAATTAACAAACACGTCATAATTCATTTTAAAATTTTAACACGGTATATGGACAGTGTAAAAGGGAAGAGAGGCGTTGTCTATGTCGTTGCCAAGATACTCATTTGGTCATTGCGTAATCGATTAATTGGCCATATATGGTTAACGTTAGAAAAAAAATCATTCATTAAGTTAAAATAAGCATTTTAAAAATTTTGAATAATTAAGTAAGCCTAGTGAAGAATTTTACATATTATTGGAGAATGTGTGTCTTATCACAATGCGGATGGCAGGGTCTCCTCACGCTAACTGGATTATTAGATATCTTGAGTATATTTTATCCTTAAATTATAGTTCATTCTTTAATTTTTGTAAAATAAAATGGAAAAAATATTTTAAAAGCATCTTTTTTTATTCGCTTCGCTTTTAAAATGCTGTTCAACTACTAGTTAGACTGTATTATGCCGTCTTGTTTTGACTATAAGAATAAGAATTTATAGTTATTTTATAGTATACAATTCAGCAAATTTCTTCTTTAAAAAAAAAATGAAATGTATCTGATTGTATATTGAATAATTGTTAGGGTTTTCCTGATTATGAAAATAGTCAATAATTTGGAGTGTGCACATAAATAATAGAAATTAAAAATTAATAATTGTTACACACCGTTCACTTTCTCCAACCCACTTACACACCAAATCTGAAGATGACACGGAAAAGAAGGTCGAATTATTAGCCTCTGTTGCCACTGCTTTTGCTAAGTAAGATTTACCCGTACCTGGGGGCTAGAAACAGTGAAAATACCACATCAATTGAAATTTACATTGGAAAGACAGAATTCCATGATAAGTTATCACAGAAAGAATTTAAAAAAAAAAGTGAATTTAAAGATGGCTTATCACGGAAAAACAGAATTCAAAGTAAAGCATATTTTATCTTGAAAAGACTGAATTTGAAGAAAATTATCTCAAAATCTCCCAACCACATGTTGCACATGCAGTGGCGTCACGCTCGGGTGCTGACGGGGGCGGAGCGCTAGGGCCCCCAACCACAAGGGGCCACGACATTGTAGTTTTAAAAAATATAATATAAACTATAATACCATAGTTTCATTCAATGGGGTCCCCAGTTTTAAACATTGAAAATAAACTGGCCTGGCATCGTCATACAGAAACTGCATTATCCCAGGGCTCATGTAAAAGTCGCTGCAGTTTTGTTTTGTTTTGTTTTGTTTTTATTTTGTTTCTGTTGCGGTTTGTCTTGCGAACCACACTTGATCGATGTCGCACGAGACCAGTTTGTATATATGTTATTAAAACATGGGGTTTTTTTTCTCATTAAATATTCTCTGTATTTATTTACACCTACATAAAATATGCATATGCCTACTGTAGACCTACACCAGTTCCGATCAAAGTTGGCCTATGTAATCTATGTTGGTTTAGTCATGAAATTGTCTGAAATAGTTCATTCTGTCATTCTGTTTTCTGACTCGCGGCCCCCTGGCCCCCAGCGTCTGTTCGCTCTACTAGCAAAAACAGTCACCGCCACAAACTCCATGACGCCACTGTGCACATGATTTTTTAGATGAACTGAGGATAAGAGCCTTCAACAATGAAGTTTAGTACTAAATTGGAATAAGATCATCATCATCAACAATTGAGGGAGGGATCTAACAGCTTACCCCGAATAGCAAGATACCTCGCCATGGTTGACGCCTGCCCGTGAAAAGGTGAGGGAATTTGATTGGTAGAATAACAGCTTCTTTCAAAGCCTCTTTGGCTGCGTCAAGACCTGCGACATCTGACCATTGAACGTTTGGTTTCTCCATAACAATTGCACCTAGTTGTTTGGAAACTCATGAAGCTTATTAATATGTTGACTTTGTATCATTATGTTTGCATTGAAATTTACTTCAGGTTACATCCCACTTTGTTGGTCCTATATGTGTCCCTCCCCTTTAATATGGGTCTGTTTTTCTACAAATTAGTATTAATAAGTACACTGTATGTGTAATATTGGGAATGGTAATAATAATTATTATTATTATTATGGATGATGTTGTTAATGATGATGATGAAAGTGATGATAATGATGATGATGATGATGATGATGATGATGATGATGATGAATAATGATGATGATGATGATGATGATGATGATGATGATGATGATGATGATGATGATGATGATGATGATGATGATGATGATGATGAAGAGGAATGTGATGATGATGTGGTAATACCGGTACACATAGATATACCTTGAAGCTGGCCTTGCAATTTTTTATTCTCTTCATTGTCACCGCCACTGGCATAATTGTTGTTATGTTTCCTAGTTTCGTTGCATAAACAAAAGTTCAATTCAAGTTTTATTATAAAAAATTAAAATAATAATTAATAATAATAATAACAACAACAATAATAATAATAATAATAATAATAATAATAATAATAATAATAATAATAATAATAATAATGAACGTCATTTATTTATTTTTTTATTTTTATTTATTTATTTAATTCTCAACCAACAGAGATAAGAACCTCCACTAACAGGTTGGAGAAAAACATATACATAGAAAGAGACAAATAATAACTAACATCAAACAACCTTACTAATTTTAAGCTTAAACGAGGATAAACTATCATAAAAAATATCAATTTCATCAGAACAACTTAAATTATTATATGTAACAGCTAATCTTTAAAATAAACCTCTCTTAGTTACGTCAACCCGACCAAATGGAACATAAATTTAGTTTCTAGTACGAGTACGACTAGGAACGTTTAATTTAAACAAAGATACAAGATTACAATCAAATACAGAATTTAAACTTTTGTAGAAAAACAGCATATCAAAAACAAATCTGCGTTTACTTAAGGAATCAATATTAACAGTATAATCGGGACATGTCTTAGCTAAAAAAAATAAAAACCTTCTTTGTATTCTATCAATACGATGGGCCTGACTTGGAGAAATCGAGTTTATAATAACAGAACAATGCGGACGAATATTCGTTTTATACAAGCAAACTAGAGCAGGCCCATCATTCACAAACCTACAATTTCTCCAAATCATATCCATATCAATAATAAAACGCCATTGGAATAATAATAATAATATTATTAATTTTCATAATAAATCTGACAGTAGCGATAACATTTACAATAACAGCAGGTGGAAATAATAATATAATATAATATAAACATTAATGGCAAACTATAACTATACTACATTACAATGATAATAATAATAATAATTATTATTATTATTATTATTATTATTATTATTATTATTATATAATATTATTATTATTATTATTATTTCCTCCAATAGGCCTATTATTCATATAAAAAAAGACAAATGGTTATGATTGTAATACAATATTATGGACATTGCATATCATGTTATGATTGATGTGCTACGTATTATTATTATAGAGAGGGCCACTTTAAAATCAGCATTTTTGTTTGGCTATAACCTAGCTGAATTTTAATATGATTGTGGAGCCGAGTTGACATTTTGGGGCCAAGTTTACTGGCGAGTTGACTTGGGGCCGAGTAGACTGGAGCCAAGATGACTTGGGGGTGAGTTGATCTGCTTCCCTGACGACAACATTTTAAAATTGGATGCATTCAACCACCACGTTTTAGAAAATACAAATGATAATAAATCGTCAAATTGGCAGCCTACCTTCCTTCATTTTCATTGCCCTTTTTCTTACTTTGTTTCTTGGCAAGGTGTTTTTTCAACTGCTCGGCTCGTTCTAGATATGAGCTACATTTCGCTCTGATTTTTTCCTTTGCTATGTCTCCATGGGCTTCATCTGGGAATGATTGATTTATAATAAAGTTTGTACATATTCTAATTTTACCAACAAATATGAATCCCGTATTTATACGAATAAACGCCCCATCTAGAGCCTCATTTGAAATAAACGCCTCCATCGAATAAAATATTTTTTTCAACTGCTCGGCTGGTTCTAGATATGAGCTACATTTCGCTCTGATTTTTACCTTTGCTATGTTTCCATGGGCTTCATCTGGGAATGATTAATTAATAATAAAGTTTGTACATATTCTAATTTTACCAACAAATATGAATCCCGTATTTATACGAATAAACGCCCCATCTAGAGCCTCATTAGGAATAAACGCATCCGTCGAATAAAACGCCCCCACCGCCACCCCCATCCCCTTAAATGACTGTAAACAAATCTGATGGAAGCATCATCATTCTCAACAATCTATTACATGTCCTACTTCAATAGAATCACATTTGTTTTTATCCTTGATAAGTATTTTATGATCACGCATTTTGACAGTAATTATGTGTTATAGTTCCAAATTCACAGTGAAATTGAGGATCGTTTATTTGAGAATTTTACACCAAAAAATAAACGCCTCTGTCGAATAAATGCCCCATCAAAAAAAGAAAAAGAAAAAAGGAAAAGAAAAAAACTGATTGGAGGTTATTTTCGGGCGTCTAGAACACAAAAAATTCGCGGGGGCATGCCCCGCCCCCTTTCGGCTCCCCCATTTTCGAAATCTCTGGATCCGCCCCTGCTTATAATCAAGCTATTTGTAATAGTAAGAAAAATGTAATACATCAGTTCTATATTTCTATAATTTTTTTTATTATTGACAGGATTTCCACTCCAGTGTGACATCTAAGCCCACTTTAGTATTATCAAGTATATTCCAAATACCCTACTGTTAAAATTCTGGCTGACGTCAGCCTCAATGTTAATCGAGTACCGACATTAAACAGATTCATCCATAGGCCTATAGGCCTATCTCATTTAAAAAGCGAGAATTGATGTTGAAAAACTCATTTTAAAAGTCTAGCATAAGTAAACACAACAAAAACAAAAAATCATGCAGAAGATTATGAAGAAAATTATGAAGTTATAAAACAAACTCGATGTCAGGGAAACTCGAACTATGACTGCTATTAATATTCAAAATATTTAGAATGACTTATTTTGATATGTACATTTTTGATATGGTCTTTGCTTGGACAATACTTAAAGCAGGCGCGTAACAGGGGTCTTGGGTCAGGGAGGCAAAGGTTATAATTTTCCCGGTTAGTAATTTATCATACCCACCCCAATTTGAAATTGGACTACTTTAACAAGAAATGCGAAATTTAAGACTTTTAGGACTTTCAGGCTGTAAAAAGGGCATCTTCAAGGGGTGGGGAAAATTTTCCACAGATGGATATTTTCCCCTCGTCCACCAGTGGGCCATGATCCTCTTGTCCCCCCAGTGGTTACGCCACTGCGGAGAATATCTGGCGGCTTAGATCAAATGAGCTATGGACACTTTTTGAAGTGGAGAAGGGGTTGCAGGGTGTTGTGAGTTTGGTCATTACGATATCTTCCTTTTTATTCTTGTCTTTATTTTTCTCTTCTCTTTTACTTTTCCTTTGCCTTTCTTTCCTCCTTCTTTCTCTTTCCCTCCCTCTCCCCTCTTTCTTTTCTCTTATTACCCAGCCCGGTACGACGACTTGGTCAGCCCGGTAAAAACCGTCGGGAGTGGGGGGGGGGGTGCAGTCTGCACGGAAAAGTTTCAAGCATGGAATGTGACCAAAGTGCCTGTCAGAAAATCTCTATGTAAAAACATAGGAAAACGGGTATACAAGAAGAAAAATAAACATAAAAAAAACTAAACTTACTATGTTTGTGTGTAAAATAGAACATAGGGCTTTTCCTCATTGCCATAATGAGAAGTGATGATGAAATTTCTAAAAAAAAACTGATTTAAAAAGTCTGGTATAAAAAAGCACACGAAGAGCAAAAATGAAATCATACAAAAAATTATGATGAAAATTATGAAGTTAAAAATATAAAAAACCAACTCGACGTAAGGGAAAGTCGGTCTATGACTGCTATTAATATTCAAAATAATGTAGAATGACATCATAATTTGATATGCACATCTTTGATATCGTCTTTGCTTGGACAATGTTTGAAGAAGATTCAAGCACGGAAAGTGACCAAAGTGCCAGTCAGAAAAAAAAATCTATGTAAAAACATATGAAAACGGGATAGAAGGGGAAAATATAGATTAGAACAAAAAAAAAACGGCTATTTCTAGTGACGCCCAAAGCCAATAAAAAGATGTCAAGTTAAAAAAAAAAATAGAAAGATAATGCGACGTTAGTAAGATCCGAACTATAGCTGCAATGTTATAGCGAGGGTGATGTGAAGACTCATAACCATTAGGCGCTATGTAAGCAGACCCTGCGTAGGTCAATGCATTTTAGTTATAGTTCAGTGATTGAGAGCGATAGGCCTATGATGCATTATGCACATCACAGTAATTTTGCGTTCAACCTAGCTGCGGCAGGTAGGTTGATCAGTTTGTGGTATAGGCCTATCTAGTTTGGGACGTTTCCCTTTGAATGGTCCTCATACCCACATCTTGCTTATAAGTATTGAACATTGTATAAACTAAACATATCTTTTAAAACACCTTTAAACACTCTTTAATTCGTGAAAATTACCAACTAATTCAATAGGCAATGAAAAGTAAAAGTGTTGTATACGTTTACATTGTAAATAGATTGAAATTACTCTGCTAACAAATAATAATTCACATTAGCTACACAGACTCACAATTAATATAAGAAAATTCAGAAATAAAGCAAAGGTGTAGTAATAATGACTACCGTACTATTTGTATACTAGTCCAGTAGTTCAGGCACAAATTTTGGCTCAATAGTGCACTTTGTGATAAAAGCATGAAACTTGGCACATGTACTATAAATTATAGCGAACATATTTTAAGGTAGGGATTCAAGTGTACTGCGCCCTCTAGAAATGGTAAATTTCTATTGTTAGCTATATACAATATAAATAATGATAATAATAATAATTATTATTATTTTTATTATCATCATCATCATAATCAATGTCAATGTTACTAGAAATGGTTTAATCAATAGATTACCTAGATTATATAACAATCTTAGCAAAGAAGATAATTCCATAGATGTATTTTATAATAGTTCAGAAGTATATAAAAAGAAGATCAAATGTATTGTACATATACTAGAGTAAGTTTTGTTATCTTTATTGTGACTAAAATAAAATAATTGTAATAATAATTATTATTAATAATAATAATAAATTAATTTTATACCTCCATGAAATTAATAACTCAGATTCCGTTTTCGTTTGGGAAGGAACCAGAAACATGTTATATTTTTATTGCGGATTTTTGGGGCTCAGTACGGACTCCAAATTAGTATGCATTTTCTTTTAGTTTATAGCGTATGCGGATTTTATAAGTCCGTAATGACGATATAACGTGTTCAGGACTTATTCAACAAAAAACAAAATATGTTAGATTTTATACCGTTAATCAACAAAATCTTAAGGTGATAATAAGTAGTGGAACAGGTAATTTCAGTAAGGTATAGAGTATTTCAAATGGATAGCACATTATTTCAAATGGGTAGCACAGTGTTTTAAATGGGTAGTACAATGTTTCAAGTGGTCGGTAGCTAGCACACCGTTTTAAATGGGTAGCACACTGTTTCAAATGGATAGCACTCTGCTTCAAATGGGTAGGCTACACAAAGTGTTTGAAATGGGTAGCACACGTTTCAAATGAATAACATTCGTTTCAAATGGGTAGCACAGTGCTTCAAAAGAATAACACAATAGTGAGCTTTCGATTTGTGCGACGACGCAACGCTAGAACGGAATCACTCATGCGTGACCGTCCTACCTGGCGTCCTACGTTCTCTGCATACGTAGATTTGGCAAAATTGCGTTCCAGAATCTACTCGACGAGGTGACCTTAACCTTCTCGCATGCGCCGATAATGTTTAGTGACGTCATTACGTTCGTCCCACCCCCACCGTCTCGCGCAATCGAAAGCTACCTATTGTTTCAAATGGGTAGCAAACATTTTTATGGATAGCACTTGTTTAAAATGGGTAGCACAGTCAGCATGGTGTTTCAAATGTATAGCACAGTGTTTCACATAGATAGCACAGTGTTTCAAATGGGTAGCACATTGTTCCAAAAGAGTGGCACGCTGTTTGAAATGGGTAGCACGATGTTTCGAATGGGTAGCACTCTTTCAAATGGCTATGGATCGCACTTGTTTAAAATTGGTAGCACAGTCAGCATGGTGTTTCAAATGTATAGCGCAGTGTTTCACATAGATAGCACAGAGTTTCAAATGGGTAGCACATTGTTCCAAAAGAGTTGAAAATGGGTAGCACGATGTTTCGAATGGGTAGCACTCTTTCAAATGGGTAACATAGTGTTTTAAATTGATTGTACTTTGTTTTAAATTGATTGCACAGTGTTTTAATTGTGTAGCACACTATTTCAAAAAAGATAGCACCTAATTTCAATTTAAGATCACACTCTTTTTATTGGAACGTTATTTTAATTGGAAAGCATACTATTTAAATTAGTAGAAAGCTATTTTTAAAAAATGATCGCTTACCTCAATATTTGATTTTAAGAGGTTTAGTTTATTCTGTGTTGATAAGATGAAGATGTCAAATTCATAAAATACGCCCATTGTCCTTTATAAATAGAAACTCAACCTGCCTTGCCCATTGATGATCAAACCCATTTTAAAACAGATTTATGTGTGGCTTTATTTATGCAAATTTTGTGTTTAAAATTGTATAGACCTATCAACAAAAACAAATCAAGACAAAATTACCGCACTTGACGTCGTCTGGGCCCCAGGGGCGGATCCAGAGAATTCCTGACGGGAGGCACAATATGAAGTTCTCGCCGCCACGCCCACCTCAGCCCCACCATGGTTGGTGTAAATAAGTAGCAAATAATCGAGCTCTCCTTTCACCCCACTGCTGGTTCGCCGCTGAACTCATGGGTGCACTCGTTTTTCCTTTTTCCTCTTTTTAACTCAAATTTACTCTATTTAATTTTTCGGTTTGACTGATGGGGGTGGGGGGCATGGGCCCTCATGGCCCCCGCTGGAGACGCCACTGGGGCCCAATGCCAATTCTATTTGATTTTGTAGATACAACAGCTTTTATTGGCAGTCAATCGTTTTACTTGATATTACATTACATCAGCATCTTCGCATCACTCAATTAAAATAGCACTACAGTTATTAAAAATACGCAATGTGTTCTTTTTCCATCATTATTAGTATTTCATTTCGGACGACAAGTCCATTTTAATTTTAAAATTTGTCAACTTTGTTATAGCATAGTGTACTTTTGTTTTCTGGCCCATATCCCGAGAAACTGAAAAAATCTCTTCGAGGTATATACTGTTTTCTATTTATACCGTGCAGTATACGGTATATCGTGTACTGCCATCCATGTTGACCTGAGTGTCGTAATTTCATGGCATTGCAGTATTTTTGTTTATGATTATTGTTAAAATCATAGAAAAACTGGAATAAAAAGTAAAGCATCATGTCAATATTATTGGTCTTTCCTAGCAGTAGCAGGAAAAACAAACATTGTTTGTGTTAAATATCCTGCTTAACGGTAAATTCGACTCGGATTACAAGGACACATGATAACGCAACGTAGGTATCTCAGCCGCTGTTTTCGTATACCATCATGGGGAAATTAATAAATGTTGGTAACGATCCGGATTCGTGTGTTAATTTGAAGGTCATTTGCTCAAGGAAAGTTTTGGTTATCTGAACATGTGCAGATTGCGCTTATTTGCCTCATTAGCATAACAATACCACACATAAGGCTAATTCAAGAAAGACGGCTTAAACCAGCCAGCTTCCTATCCTGGTAACAGTTAAAAGTCCTTGGCCATAGCTTATCAACAATGCACACTGACTGACCAGATTTGCCTCAAATATATGCAAAATCATCAGTTGCTATAGCCTCTATAATTAATGTTGTTACCAAATACTTACATTTGATGCAATGTATAAAGTACTCCACCCCATTTTCATAAAGTCTTAATGCTTCTTCATAATTTTTTGCCTTGTCTTCTTCTGTGGCCTTTGCAACTAGTGCAATCGCTTTCTGGTTTTAAAAAATTTGCATAAACAATTAAATACTTTTTTTAAAAATTCAGATATTATTCTAAGTATATAGCGTCTTGCCCAATGTCATTACTTTGTAAATGTATTGCCCGGCTTAACCGGAACTGTTTCCAATGTAATACTATAGTTTGTTTTAGTTTAATAAGTTTTAGGATTTGTTTTATCTTTCGTTTGAAGCATCATCATTGGGTAATCAAGTACAAAAGTAATATGAAGAATTATTATTATTATTATTATTATTATTCATTATCTTTATATCAGCTTTATAGAATGAATGAATGAATGAATATATAGGCACGTCATTACCATACATAGCCTCATCATGACTCATAACAATGGACATACAGCAGTTTATTTTTTTGTCAAAGGAAAATTTAAGAATCTGGACAGAGCTTTAGAATAATATAATGTGGGAAGTAGGCCTAATGTGTTTTTGGTGAAAGTGCTTTTTCTGTGATAGGTCAAAAATGAAGGAATAATCTCCCCTATCAGATGCCAGGCCTCCAGTGTGCAATCTTTTAAAATAACTTTTAAAAACACATCTTTTTCATAAAGAGCAATTTCTTAAATTATTTTTATCTATGCTTGACTGATTCATAATTTTATTACACACTTGTGTTTTATTGTTGCTATTTTTTTATCGCTAACTTTTTGTAGGAAATTTTATTGAATTCTGGTATTGTAATTTGTACTTGCCATTTATATTAACTGATTTTTTATTGTACTTACTTTTATTTTTGTAAAAATGAGTTTTAATGTACAGCACTTTGATCTTTGGAATTTTTATTGAATGTTGTAATTTCTACTTGCCATTTTTATTGATTGATTTAAAATATTGTACTTACTTTCATCTTTGTAATAATGGGTTTTGATGTAAAGCGCTTTGATCTTTTTTGTAAAGGCGCTATATAAATGCTTTTTAATAATAATAATAATAATAATAATAATAATAATAATAATAATAATAATAATAATAATAATAATAATAATAAGTAATGTGCAATGACCGCAGCATTCGTGATTGGAAAACGAATAGAGTAGGCCTACTACAGTGTTACCGGTACGATACCACGTGACACTACTCCGTTGCTATCGTTGCAAAAACGGTTCAACCGGACGTCATTTTCTTCACTGACAAACCATTGATAACAATTGTTAACGGAATTATTAAGATGTTGTATCTTACTTTTTCTTTGTAAATTTTAATTGATGATTAAATGTGTGTTCGATAACAAATATAATGCTTGCTTTTGTGTTTTTAGTACATTTTGATGGTAAAATATTAGATTTTAAAATGCCTATTCCTTGAGGCTCATAAAATTGAATGTATGTGTCAATGTTTTAATTTAGGCCTACAGTTTTATTTTCATTTTTCTCAATGACAGAAACAACATTGCCAGTGGAATCGTTTATGATAATAGACTGTATTTTAGTTATTCGTACTGGATTATATAAGCTTTTGTACAAGTAAAATTATATAAATCAGCGACTGATATTTCTTCCAAATTTAATAGCAGACGGTATTTTAGTTGTAGCAATAAACGAAAATATAAATAACAGAATTGATGCTGCCTATATAATATCGAGACGTGTAGTTTTTTATTAGACTCGCTTTTCGGATAAGGATTAATCATAGGACAAGTGTACTAAACTAAATCTTGTGCAACTCTTTCGAGAAAAGTGAGGTGTTACTTAAGTGTTCCGCAACCATTTTAGCCCACGACCCAAATTATATGTTAAGCACTCTGACGCGACCCATCGAACCCGAAGTGATTAACGTCCGTCGTTTTATGCACGTGAGGGATAGCGGGAAAAACCACCCTTTTGATTTTTTTTTGTGAATCGATTAAAAGATATTATCACTCAAAATCACTATGTAAAACCCATAAAAATGAAAATATAATTTGAATTACACATTTAACAAAATCACGTAAGTTATCACATTTTTCAATAAGTTAAAACTTTTTAAAAATTAATAATTAACAGACATAAATTTCTAGTGCTGCCAGAGATTTATGTGTTATGCGAAGACATAGACACATTAAATGTAAAAATGTTTCCTCAATATAATTTGCAGCTGAAAGCCTAACACACTGAAATGAGCAAAACTAATACTTTAAATTTGTCATACCTGAAGTACAAATGTTTTGATAGTATAATTTTGAACATGAAACTGTGATAATGCACATATAACAAAATTAAACTGACGCACTTGTCACACTTGCACTTTCGTTTGCTGTAATTTAATTGTGTTTGTTTTCGTTCGTGTTAAGTAAAGTTTTCACGATCTGAAGACATTATGCGACCCATCAATTTTTTTTTCGCGACCTAAACATTGGGTCGCGACCCATAGATTGCGGAACGGTGGCATAGACAATGTAGGTAAGAATGGCCCCGGAAAAAATGGCCCAGGAAATAATGGCCCCGGAAAAAATGGCCCTGGAAAAAATGGCCCCGGTAAAAATGGCCCTAAATGACAAGTAGGTAAAAATGGCCCCAATGGAAAAATCTAGTAATAGAAATGGTTTTTTTTTTAATCTTTAAATATTTAAATACTGAAAATGGCAAGAATTGAATAAATAAATAAAAAATGGGCCCCAATTAGAAAATTCAATAAAACAAATACTACTACTACTACTACTACTTAGTTTAGCTCCTATCTCAAGGAGTACCCTGCTGATTGATTAATTAATAGATCTTTTTTGTATGAGAGAAATTCACTTCTGTATAAATGAAAATAACTTTACATGAAATGAAATAACTTTACATGTTATAAACAATGCAAATAAACAGTTCAGTTAAAGTATATGTGTATTTGAATCACAAGTTCATGTATGGCAAAAGGCAGAGGCCTACTTTCTCACAAACCATCAATATGTTCTTTCTAGGGTTACTTCAAAGAAGTATTCTTAAATATTTATTTTAGTAACTGAATAATTACGAATACAAAAATATAAGCAATTAATTTAGTTTG